AGTTTTCAAATATTTCCCTTATTTTGATGAAGGGCTAATCTTCTATGTTTTCTTCTAGAAACTTTGTAATTTTAAATTTTACATTTAAACTTTGTAAATTTAATTTTACATTTACAATCTGTTTTACTTTGACTTTTTTTTTTTTTTGGTAGGACTAGGGTTTGAATTCAGGGCTTTGCACCTGTAAAGCAGGCACTCTTCTGCTTGAGCCACACCTCCAGTCCTATGATCTGTTTGAGTTAATTTTTTTTTTTTTAACAAAATGGTACAAGAAAAAACCAAACGAGTCAGGGCCTATTTGGAAGGAGGATTCAGAAGAGCCTGAGTAGAGATTGGTCAGGGATAATCTTTGTCACCAAATTGGTAACTCTGCTTTTATTTCCATGGCTTTATGCATCACAACTTACTGTTTGCCAATGTACATTTTGGTTCTTTCCATTTTTTTTTTACTATTTTATATATGCTGATGCTACAGATACTTTTCTACCTGCCTCCTTGTTTATATGAGGGTACATCTAGGAGTGGAATTACCAAAGTTGTTCCAGCAGCATAAAGGAGAGCACTGGAAAGCATCATAATGTGAATTTTTTATTATGGCACATGCCATTCTTTTTATCTATTGAATGCTGATGGAAGTGCATTAAACCTAATAACTAACAGGTATATTTCAAATTACATTTCTAAAAGAAATGAATTTTTAATAAAATTTCATCTTCCCTTTTAAATTTTTCTTGGTTATTTTGCCTGTTAGCTTTTCTCCCTCTTTCTAACCCTCTTGCACTGTGCATATAAACTGTTCTACTGTTCATAGGAACTCTGCGATAAACACTACAGAAATGAGTTCCCTTAATGGGTAGTGAACTAATCCCTAAATTCATTTTGTACCTATCTTTGAAATCCACCTGGATTATCAAAGTAATGGAAATGTACTGAGCCTCCATCCTCTCTACAGTGTGGAGGCATTAAAAATGGATGGATGAGCACTTGGCTAAGTTTGGAGGGAAACTCACTTCCTGAGCTCATTCATGAATTCTGTTCAATGACAGCCATAAAGCTCTTTTTGCAAACAGTCTTGCCTTCTGAACTGATTTATTTTCAGATTAATAAATATTAATGTTGATTAAGTACTTACTGCTACTGCTACCACTGCCACCACACATAGTGTTTCCTTAAAGTACTTTGTGCCACAAATTCCCTTTAGTGATAACGTGAAACATTTTTTGATAAGGAGCAAAATTTTTGCTTTCTCCTTCTTAAAACAGCAGATACAGCTATTATTGGATTTTCTCACCCTCTATGCTGTGGAATCAAATTGCACAGTAAAAGAAAAGAAAGATGTAGAAAAAAGGTTTCAAAATAAGTAGGTATATTTTGCTCTTACCGGCAACCCAAAAGCACTAATGGCAGTAACTCAACTTAGGAATACTAATTAAAAAAAAAAAAGTGTCTTTAAGTGGTAGACCAAAATATTTAACTTGGTTAGCCAGACAACTCTAGTCATCCCAAATTTCAATAACCAGTCATTTTGGGCAAAGAGCCCTGGTCTATAAATAATTCAACCTATTTCAGCTAGGTTCCAACAGCCGTAATTGTCAAGAATGATTTATGGTGCAAAACTTCATTCAAGATGGACCTTGTATCCCAGGCAGTATAATGAAGACAGTGAATGACTTAAAATAAGCATTTCATACAAATTGCTGTGTGGGGACACAATCCAGCTGTGTGGTCAATTATACAATAACTCTTTTCTTACTCCTCCTTTCACTGTATATGAACTTCCTCTTGAGTCTTTTGCCCCCTGGAACCTCCCCTTGCCTACCTCTGAAGCTCATGCCTGAGAACTGTATTTCTCACTCTGGAATCCTTTCCAAGTCCCCAAATGGGGCTGACATGGACCCAAATCCTCGGGCAACTCTGGAGCACCAGCAGCTCCACCTTTCGGGAACGGCAGAAATTCTTTGAGGACATTTTACAACCAGAGACAGAGTTTGTCTTCCCCCATCCCACCTGCATCTTGAGTCACCAAGACCCCCCCATAGGTAGTATCTCATCCATGGAAGTGAACGAGGACACACTGGAGAAGTAGAACTTACTGACCTTGGGGATCAGGATGGAGCAGATGTGTTCTTGCCTCGTGAGAATCATCCAGCAACCCCCGAGACGTCTGGAGTGGATGACCATCCAGAGGAGCTAAGCCTGCCAGTACCCATGACAGACAGGACCACATCCGGGACCTCTTCCTTGTCTTCTGACTCCTCTACCAACCTCCACAGTCCAAATCCTAGTGATGGTGGAGCAGACACACCATTGGCACAGTCCGATGAGGAGGAGGATGGGGTTGATGGAGGTGATGGAAGGGCAGAGCCTGGAACCTGCAGCTAGCAGTTGGGCCCCTCCCGCAGAATGACTGAGCTGGCTGTTCTTCCTGTGAGACCATAGGCTCAGCCAGAGTACTCCGGGAGAAGAGCAGACATTTTACTTGCAGTTGGCACCGAAGGGAGGAAAGGATGATGGGATGGTTTACCTCTCTGAGAATAACCCTCTCCTGCTCTACTGCTAACCTTTTCCTACTGCAACCCTTCCCAGTTTTTTGTTTACTCCTGAGGTAGGACTTGCAAAGGAGTAGATAGAAGATAGGGTAGGACAAGATGCCACTGCTTTTCTTAGCATTCCTCCCTCCTCCAAATTACCCTGTAGTCTTTCATTACAGTCTCTTAAACCAGTGTCTTTAAGTGGATGTGAACTCCTTAGCACTCCAAATGAGGTGGTACTCCAGCCTATCCTGCCTCCTTACATCCTTTTGGAACATGGCATGGTGTAAATAATAAACAAATAATAATGTATCCAAAAAAAAAAGAAAGAAAGGAGCAAGCAAACCAGACACTTTTCAAATGAAGAAATATAAACAGCCAATAAATACATGAAAAAATGTCCAGCATCTTTAGCCATTAAGGAAATGCAAATCAAATCTACACTGAGATTCCATCACACTCCAGTTAGAATGGGTATCATCAAGAAAACAACAACAGATGCTGGTGAAGATGCGGGGGTAATGGAACCCTTATATATACACTGTTGATGGAAATGTAGCTTAGTCCAGCCACTGCAAACTGGTACAGATGTTTCTCAAGAATCTAAAAATGGAACTACCAGATGATCCAGCTAAACTACTCATTGCTATATTCTCAAAAGGAATCAAAGGCAGCATACACAATAGAGATAACTGCACATCCATATTTATTACAGAACTACTCACAACAGACAAGCTATGGAATTAGCCTAAGTGCTCATCAGTGGATGAGAGAATAAAGAACACGTGAGATAAATAAATAGATATATAGATAGATAGACAGACAATTGTATATTATCCAACCATTAAGGAAAAAAAATTAATGTTTGCAGGAAAATGGATGAAACTGGAGATCATCATGTTAAGCAAATTAAACATACTCTAGAAAAGCTAGAATTTTATGTTTTCTCTCATTTAAAAGAGAGAGAAATTTAAAAGAGAGAGACATGAAAGTAGAAGGTGAACTGTTAGGAAGGGAACCAGGGGACCAGCAGGGGGCAGATAAGTGTGAGTAACATGGTAAATATGGTCAAGTACCTTCTATACATGTATGAAAATATTGTAATGAATAATAAGGGTTTTTAAAAAAAAAACTGCAAACATGAAATAAAAATGCCAAGTTTCTTATTTTTTGTGAACTACATTCAAAAGAATTCAGTGTAGACATCTCATTCTAATTCAAAGTTGTAATAAAAATAGATAGATAGACAAAAGTCTTTAAAAGCATAGAGTTGGTGTAGGTGAGTTTTGTTTTGCTTTGAAGACATTGTAGTGGCCAACACTATGTTAAATAGGATTATTTTACAAATAGCTACTGCCCTAGAGCCAGACAGGAGTTGTGTAGAATGGTTGGCAAAGCATAGATTGTAGAATCAAAAAAGCCTGGGTTTAAAAGTCGTGACTACTACTCTCTGGCTAAGTTGTCTTAAATAAGTCCCATATTATGTCCCCTGCAAATCTTGGCTCCCTCATTCCTCAAACAGTAGTCAGAAGTCTTTGTTGTTGTCAGTATTAAAGCATTGTCTACACAGTCTATGCAGAATTGCTGACACATGGTGGGGCAGCTGATGCTTTGAGAATGATGGTGGTACTTAGGGCTAAGGAACAGGAGTCATAAAGCCTTGAAATTTGCTAGGAGACCAACTCCAGAATTAGAGCTGGAGGCTCTGGCCACCATATTGCTTTGTCTTCTCCTCCTAACTTTTCATATTCTTCATGATCCAGAGTCCTCACCCAGAGCCCCATCCTTACCTTACCTGCTCCTGTCTTGCAGGGGCCTAATAATGGCAGGCACTGTATGCTAAGCAGCTAATAGTTACGTGCTTTGCATTTATTCATTTCATCTAATCTTCAGAATAATGGGATGGTGCTCAGATGTTACATGTCCATTTTACAAATCAAGACAGCAGGCCTCAGAGAGGTAAATGACTTGATCAGTGTAACACAGCTAGGAAACATCACAGCCAGGACTTCATACCAGGTCAGTTTGGTTACAAAGTTCATACTAACTCTGCCACGTTTTACTGTCTCCCTCTAAGCCTTGTTATGACCTCCTAAGATGGAAAACAGAATTAATATAAAATATTTTCAAATAAACTATAAGTGCTTAAACATTCACCCATCTTGTAAAACTATCAAAGATAGTGTGTGTGGGGGGGGAACCAGGTTCTTTTCTAACAATAAATAATCACAGCCTAATGTTTCTTTTTTTTTTTTAATAATCCTTTTATTTCCCTGAGGATGACATAATTTTCAAAGTCTAGCCAGATAATTAGACTTGACCCTAGTACCTTGTGAAATAGGTTCCAGAGTTCTACCCTAGGCTACTGATAACTTGCTTCCACTTTTAGCAGCATTCAGTCATTCTTGGGTTCTGCTTTGGTATCAAGCAGTCATTTAATATTTGGCTCATGTCATGACTTCTTTGCAGATGTTACCCCCCCACAGACAGCTGGTTATATAGAAGTTACTGATCTTCAATCAAAGAAACTCAGATACATCCCTATTCCCAGGTAATCTATTTCACCTCTGTTCTTAGCTTGATGTGTCATTAAAAAAAAAAAAATGAGTTGAGTTCTTACCAAGTATTCTGAATAAATGCATGTTTTTTGTTTCCTTAAATAGCAATCTCTTTTTTCCCCCAGTTATAGTTGGTTTATATCTTCCTGTTCTTTTGCATGCTTTCATGGCATTTTTATTTCCATTTTGGAAAAATATTCAAATATTTTAAAATATTTTACATAGGTATAAGTTTAACAGCCTTCTAACTTTCATTCTCTTTTGTTTGGTCTGTTCTAATGCTAAGTTTTTTCTGTACCAGAAATAGCATTGTTAGTATCGCAGAAATTTTAACACTTATTAACTTTATATATGAGTTTTCTGCATTCAAAATGTCAACGGAATTTAAATAGCATCTGCTTAATATTGTTTCTAAATGAGATACTGCCTGTCTGCAGTCATGACCTCCATGCAGCAGCTAAAGGATTCCCACAGGTTTAGAATGGAGCTCATTACCGTTCAGTGCTTTTTTCATTGTCCAAAGAGGAAGCAAAGCCTTTAAACTAGCTAGACTAGATAAAAAAGCAGAAACTACTGTTTCTCATCTCTACCCTTGAGGAACACAGGTGACCTTGCCAATAGCCCCACCTTTCCTGGTACAACCCATTCCTTATCTCCTTTCTCAAGCTAAGCTTGCACCTATTACTTTGGCCATTTAGCCTGGGTTCTTCTATTGTTCTTCCCTTGCCCCAGGCCAAAGCCTCCTTTAATCTTTCTGCTCTGCTCAGATCTAGATTAAATCACTTACCCCTTCTCTCTCATACTTTCTCACCTGTGTCTGGCCCTCTACAACATAGTAGGTAAAGCCCTGCCTGAAGTCTCAAGCAGAGAAGTCTGGGGAGCCTACAATGCTAGAGGAAGCCAGGGGCAGTGGAACCTACCAGTCACCCAAAATGTTACCAGGTCACCTTTCTCCTCCTTCCTCCAACCTTGCAAAAGAAAATAGCTCAGCATGATTGTACAAAATAACTCAACAATACAGTTTCATTTCTTAGGACTTTTAATTAGATTAAAAAATATGAAACATTAAATCATTATTCAAAGAAAGAGATTTACTTTTTCACACACACAAACACACACACACACAGAGGACTTCTTGGAATACCTTAGTGTGTTGGTTTAATGGAAAATGACATTTAGTCATTTAAGGAAATACCTTATTCCTAGTTGTATGCTCTTTAAAATAGATGATTAGTTCATGTTACAAAAGCAAAATAAGACATCTCTTTTTTTTAGCATTTCTGAAGTATTGATCTTTCTTTCCCAATATTTCTCTTAATTTCTTCTTCACAAGCTTTTGTGGCAGTGTTTTTTTTTTAATTTTATTATTCATATGTGCATTCAAGGCTTGGGTCATTTCTCCCCCCTGCCCCAACCCCCTCCCTTACCACCCACTCCGCCCCCTCCCTCTCCCCCCCACCCCCTCAATACCCAGCAGAAACTATTTTGCCCTTATTTCTAATTTTGTTATAGAGAGAGTATAAGCAATAATAGGAAGGAACAAGGGTTTTTGCTGGTTGAGATAAGGATAGCTATACAGGGAGTTTACTCACATTAATTTCCTATGCGTGTGTGCTACCTTCTAGGTTAATTCTTTTTGATCTAACCTTTTCTCTAGTTCCTGGTCTATTGGCCTTAGTTGCTTTTAAGGTATCTGCTTTAGTTTCTCTGCGTTAAGGGCAACAAATGCTAGCTAGTTTTGTAGGTGTCTTACCTATCCTCACCCCTCCTTGTGTGCTCTCGCTTTTTATCATGTGCTCAAAGTCCAATCCCATTGTTGTGTTTGCCCTTGATCTAATGTCCACATATGAGGGAGAACATAGGATTTTTGGTCTTTTGGGCCAGGCTAACCTCACTCAGAATGATGTTCTCCAATTCTATCCATTTACCAGCGAATGATAACATTTTGTTCTTCTTCATGGCTGCATAAAATTCCATTGTGTATAGATACCACTTTTTTCTTATCCATTCATCAGTGGTGGGGCATCTTGGCTGTTTCCATAACTTGACTATTGTGAATAGTGTGTGGCAGTGTTTTTTAATTTTCTGTATGAGCCACATGTTCTACTTGCCATGGAAAAAACTTCTGAAAGAGCAGGTGTGTGTACAGTTCAGCACCAGCTGAGTATCATAATTCATTCGTGTAGAGTGGCACTGTCCAATGGAAATACAATGTAGACCATAAATGAAATTTTTTATTTCTTGAAGCACATAGAAAAAAAATAAAAAGAGGGCTGGAGATGTCACTTAGTAGTAGAGCACTTGTCTAGCATATGCAAGGCCCTGAGTTCGATCCCCAGCACTACAAAAATAAAACCCAAAACTAAAAACAAACAAAACCCTCAAAGAAACAGGTGAAGTTAATTTTAATAGTGTATTTTATTTAACCCGATGTATCCAAGATATTATCTTTCTGACATATATTCCATATTTTAAATTTTAATATAACTTTGCATTCCATTTTTCTTCTAAGTCTTTGAAATCCAATGTGTATTTTATAGTTACAGCACTTCTCAATTTGAACTTGGCCATATTTTAAATGCCATGTAATTCAGAATGTTTCATTTTCATTATGTCCTAATTTTCTGTTGAGATTAACTATTGTTATTTTTGGTACATATATAATCCATGGGAATGACCCATCTTGATTCCAGGGGTTTCACTAGTTAAACTTAGCATTCTGCTGGAATTCTTCAATTGATGGCTTACATCAAATAATATAAAATACTGTAAAGCTACATGTAACTTGAGGGCCAATTTTGCCCTCACATATTTTTCTTCAAATTTTGATATTATATATTTGCATTTATAAAATGATACTGCTTAGCTCTCATATATGTCTGTGTATAAATTTAGGCTTCACTCTAATGAAAATGAAATGTATTCCTGTAAACTGATGATTTAAAATGTTTCCAAGAACACTTAAGCTATATGGTGCTATTGAGCATTGTTATCTACTGTTTTTCTCTATTCAACTATAAATGAAAACTTTAGGCCTGGTGTTCATTTAAAACTTTGTAATTATGTACAAGGGGAACATGCATTTAAAAAATGTGAAGAAGAGATTCTGACCTGATGTACAGATTGTAATGAATAAGTAATTTCTTCAGTGCTTTTTGTTTGTTTTGTTTTATTTTCTTTTGTTTTGTTGACACAGGGTTTCCACTGTGTGGCCCAGGCTTACCTTGAACTCTTAATCCTCCTGCCTCAGCCTCCTGAGTGCTGTGATTATAGACATGTGCCACCATGTGTGGATGGCCTTTTTTTTTAATTGAAGAAATTGTCCCTACTCATTTAATGTTTTATTTTTTATTTAATTTAATTTAACTTATTTATTTATTTATGGTGGCACTGGAGTTTGAACTCAGGGCCTCATGCTTGCTACTCAGGCACTCTACTGCTTGATCCATTCCACCAGCCCTAAAGTTTTCTTTTATAGTTGAATAGAGAAAAACAGTAGATAACAATGCTCAATAGCACCATATAGCTTAAGTGTTCTTGGAAACATTTTAAATCATCAGTTTACAGGAATACATTTTATTTTCCTTTAATAGCTCTTTATTTTTTCCTAAAGCAAAGTTTTTGAGAGGGTACCATATATATGAAATAAATCTTATATTTTGTCAGTTGTTACCATCTTTGAATGCTTCCAGGGGGTCCCATAAAGTAGTTCTAAAACACTCATCCCTCTACTGTTTCTTCTTCATCACATAAATGTTTTATTTCCTAAGACATCTGTGTTCAAGAGTAGCTGCCCTTGTCACTGTGTGTTCAGTATCAACTAAGTCAGAATGGAAAAAAATCAAAATAGTCTTTACTTTTTATTTAGTATATTGTAAGAATTAACCTATATGTAATGGTTTGTGGTTTTCTCAAATCTATATTGATAATTTATTATTTTATTCTTATTTTCAAAGAACATTCCTTTAAGCCATATATTTCATGCAGAAAGTGTCAAGTGCATTTAGAGAGCCAACACTGGTAATTATAATTTATACTCCTTGTCACTTGTATATGAAAGTTCTACTTAAAGGAAATATGCAGTTGACGTGTGCAGACAAATGCTTGCATTTCTAGAAATTAATATCATATGGATAAATACGCCAGAAATGTACAATACAGGAAATAAGTGTGACATATACAATACGTAATATTATAAATTCCTTATTGCAGACTCATATAACTAAATCAGAAAAGACAAAAATTAAATACAAAAGCAGTTGAAATGTGTGTAAACAAGACATGGGATTCAACACAAACCTCTAAAGGAGTGAGTCCACCAGTGCAGGTGTGGGAGTAGGAGTTGGGGAGAGGTCCTTTCTTCCTGACAGTTAATTGCTAGTGTCATCTGTGAGTTCACAAATACAGGAAAATGTAAATAGCCAATAAATGACCACTTTTATTCTGTATAGATGGATCTGTTGGTATCTTACCTCTTAATGTACTTGCTATTAGTTCTGTCTTAGTCCAGGGCTGCTATAAGTGAATACCACAGGCTGGGTAGTTTGAATGACACACAGTTATTTCTCATGATTTAGAAGCTGGGAAAGCCAAGATCAAGGTGGCAGTCAGTTCAGTTCCTGGTAAGGGCTGTCTTATAGATGGCTGCCTTCTTACTGTATCCTAGCATGGGGTGGAACCGAGTGGGAGAGAGTCCTCTGGACTGTTTTTATAAAGATAATCCCACCATGGGATATGTACCATTATTACCTCCTAAAGGCCTCAATCAGTGCCATCACATTGAGGGTTAGAGCTGCCCATATGAACTGTGGGTGCACAAACATTCAGTCAGTAACAGATTGTTTATAGCAAGCTTAGTGACTCTAAATTACTTTAGCTTCATTACCTGCACTATTAATAGCTCATATACCGTTAGTAATTATGAAATATCTTCATTCAAATAGTCCTTTTTTTATATTCATTATTGCCTTGCCTTGTGTTTATAAACTCAGTATGTTCTTATATCTCACTTTTCCCTCATAACACATATCCTTTTAATTTCCCTGTGCTGTGAGATGGGTAAGAGCAGGTATTAAAAGACTGAAAAATGCTGTAAACAGATTTTTTAAAATAGGAAAGGACATTACAAATATCAGGTATCACTGCTATATTTTTATGATCTCTCACCTGCATTTTGGATTCCTTTTTCAGATCAGAATCTCTCTCACCATATACTACATGGCTATCTACTATTTCGGACACAGATGCACTGCTGGCTGAGTGGGACAAAAGTGGCATTGTCACTGTTGACATGGGAGGTCATGTCAGACTTTGGGAAACTGGACTTGAACGTCTGCAGCAATCACTCATGGAATGGAGAACCATGATTGGGCAAGAAGGTGACAGACATATGCAGGTATCACTTTAATTGGCCTTACCTCTTAGGGAGGCATATTCTGGTATAAATTTTGCTCTAAATGCCACAATTGGGAAAACTGGTTCAGGCACTCAAATATAGTTGCTTAAATAGCTAAAACAAATTTTAAACTCACAATAGAAAAGAGACATACCTATCTATCTAGATACCAAAAAGTAAAAATGTGCTTTTGTGTTCTGTCAGTGCTTAAATGTGCAGGACACTAACATCACAACATGCATATTCAGTCAACAGCTAGTATTTTTTAGCCTGAAGCATTAGCTGGTTTCCAGATCCATCTTTGCATCTGTTCTCACTTTTGCTGTCACTGTCAGCATCTCTGCATGCTACCTCAGAAACAGAACATTGAGGATCTGATACAGCAGACTCTTACACGGCCCAAACCTCTAGATTAAAGGTTAGCAAAATGTGCATACAATAGTTTTCAGCAACTGTCTTCTTTCCAGATAGCACAAATTTAGCAGTCACAATGAGTAGACCAAGAGAAAATTATGGAGCAAGTCACCAAAGCAAAAGGAAACACAGCCAGTTCAGAAATGACTCAGTCATCACCTAATATAGTTGCTGTGAGGAAGAAATTGGAAGACTGAGAAAGACTGTATGTCCATGTGTACTGAAGCATGTAATAACAGGATTGATCTATAATTTATGTATTTTAATTTTAAGGACAAAACTTCTGTGTTTACACATCATTCTTATCTAACAAAAAGAAAAATTTCTTCCAGTGTGTTGCTCTGCAGTCAGTTAACAAGATAGTTCCACCAACTATTTCATCAATAATTAATTGATAATTACTGTTTTGCGTGATTGTTTTGCTATTAAAAGAGAAATAAATGCAATTGTGAGTGAAAAACATTTTTCTCTTAGACCTTAAAAGCTACAGAATGTTTTAAAAACCTCAAAAAAAGGTAGGCTAGCAACGTCAAATCCTTTTGAAGGGACATACATATATCAATTTAAATAAATTAAATGTATTGCTCTGAAATAAGCATGTCATTAAGTACATTGGATCTATTATAGCAACAAATGAACCCACATCCATCCACTACCCAAAACAACATTTAGAAACCCAATTACTTACAGTTCTCTCTTATTATTCTAAACATTAATTTCTTCTTTCTTTGAATTAAGCTCCTTTTTCACTGAAGTCATTGATGCCCAATAGTAAATACTATTGTGTTTGAATTTCAAGTATTTTATTTGAATTTCTTGTAAGTCAAAGAGATCAAGTCATATTTCTCTGATGGTCAAGATTCCTTCCTTCCTTCCTTCCTTCCTTCCTTCCTTCCTTCCTTCTTTTTTTCTCTTCTTCTCTTTTCTTTTTCTTTTCTTTTCTTACCACTTTGGTACTGGGGTTTGAACTCAGGGTCTGGCAGTTGCTAGGCAGGTGCCCTAACACTTAAGCTACAACTGGCCCTTTTATTTTTTTCTTAAAAGAACTTTAAAAAAGGATCTTTGCTCCTGATTTTATAATGGTTCTTGACTGTTGCAAAAATTAAACCCTATTTATGTTTTAACCATGTAGCTCTTCTCTACCCAAGGACTTCTGTGACTCTTTCTATGAATGTTTGTTTTCCCAGCTCCTGGCATAGCGATTAATACACAACAATGAATATCTTTGTTTATATTCACATTTATATATACTAAATTACACTGCTAATTGAAGCTATTTGAAATAAGTGGAAGTGTTCTTTTAAACTGTCACAAATTATTCATTTTATGCTTGTATGTACCCATAGCAGTATTTATTAAATGAATATATATATAGTTATTAAATTAGAAGTATACAAAATTATGGTATCTAACATCTTAAGAAAAACCAAAATATTTGTCTACATTGTACAGTGCATTATCTGAACTTTTCCTAAATCCATCATTTTCAGGGGAATATGTAACTTTTTATCTCCAGCTCAAAGTGCAGATATAACAGAAATAAGACAAACTTAGTAATAAAGTTGTATAATTCAGAATTCAATGATGATTTCATTTAGAAAACTAGAATAGATGTTAGTTAATATTCTCCTTTTGCCTGTAAGAGTCTTTGGTCTACTTTAGGTAATATAAAAAATGCATACTATATACATACTCAAACCAAGAAACAAATTATGAGCACACATCTTTACATTAAATGGACAGGAGGAATTGCCCAATAGTCTGCCATTGTATCAAGTTTTTGTCAAATCTCTTGGTAAATAATGAGACCATATACTTAATTCTTCTTATTTAGACTCCCTCGTGTTACTATTTATAAGTACCTTGTAAACCAAATCTAAACAGTCATTCCAGGTAATAAAGAGTCACACTCATCTTCTGCAGTCCCTTCCTGTTCAGACCTTCAAGGTCCCTCATTTATGGACTCCTATTCAACATAGTCTGCTCCTAATTTTGGACTTTGAAAAATGCCTCTCACAGAAGTAGTGAAAAAAGAGTAAGTTCTTTCTGCCCTACTTACATTTGCTGGGTGCCCAGTCTTTCCTGTCACTGGTGGAAGTAACCTGGTCTCCATCTAGTGGCCAAATGGGCTTACTATATGTCATCGAAAGTAAAAGACTTTTCCTCCAGCATTTCTGAGTGATCTCCAGGTTTCCTGCCTGGAAAGATTTACATACTCTTGTCTTGTGTGGCTCCTTCAGGTCAGCAGTGCAGGCTGGACAAACAACCTGCCAAGCCATCTACTGCAAACTGACCCACCTTTTCCCGACTCCTCTGCATAGTAGCAAAGGAACTGTCCATCCTTAGACAAACAGTAAAGTTGCATGTTTTACAGCTGTCTTTAGTCTCTGCTACATTTCAGTCTTCTATACGTATTTGCTTTGAAGCCATTGTGGATTTGAATTTTTATTAATGAATTCATTGGTGTATTGTTTAAATGAGTTTAGCTTGCAAGAGGATACTTATTAAAGCTGTGCATGTAAAACGTGTTCCTTAATTTGACACATTTTGACAGTTACATGTGTTTTTCCTACAGTAAACAACTGTAACAGTAAATTCAAAGTATTGCTATTAACTGTAGCTCCTAGAACCCATTATTAAGAATCATATTTATTACTTTTAGACTCCATGCTTTAAGAAGCATGGGTTAATTTAAAAGCCAAAATTCTCCTGGCTACATGTCATGGTGTTCTCTATGAAGTATATTTTTCATATTTTTATTTTATTACATTTGTATTCCTTGTATTCTCCCCAGGAAGTGCTGTTAAAACTATTCCACAATTTTCTTAAAAAGAACACGGTTCATTCTTATGCTTCATTCTTTATAAATACAACAGTTTAATTGAGCGGGTCACTGTTACAGAACAATTCATGTTCTGTAGGACTGTTACATGTATGTGTTTTCGGGACTCTTTCTTGACCCAGAAAGACAATGCCTTTTTTGAACTTTTATAGTTCTCTGCCCTATATCCTATTGGTGTGTTAGTATACCTGGCTTTTACCAAGATGGTCTAGTTGTTTGCCTATGTAGTAGGTAAACAATGCCTTGGTCAATGCCTCAATGACTGTCCTATCATTTATTCTTATTAGACAAATTCAGCCATAGAAATTCATTTTGAATCTTTAAGGTTTGGGTGTGTGCATACTAAGAATGAAAGATTATTTGGGGAGTATAATGTCCAGTGATATGCTGATAAACCAGTTCTTGTGGAAGTATATTAGTTAGCTTCTCTTTTTGCTATGACCAAAATACCTGAGAGAAATAAAGGGGGGAGGAAAGACTTATTTTGATTCATGATTTCAGAGGGTTTTGTCCATGGTCATTTGCCCTCATGAGCTTACACAGAACAAAAAGGCAACAAGAGCATGGTGGCTAGGAGTTACTCACCTCAGAGCAAACAGAAAGCAAAAAGAAGACAAGGGCCTGGGGACCCAGTATAGCCTTCAAAGGCACACCTACAATAACCTAACTCCTCCAGCCAAGTCCCACCTCCCAAAGTTTCCATAGTCTCCCAAAACAGCACCACCAGCTGGGGACCAAGCATTCAAAACATGAACCTGTATTGGGCATTCCTTATCCAAGCCAGAACAGGGGAGTATTAAAAATGTTTGCTAATTTCCACAGTGTAAACATTTCTTCCATGACTGACTTCAGGCTAACAACAGTTATCCATCTGATTGCAAAATTCCAAATATTTAGCAGTTATCTCTACAAGGAGGTACAGTTGGCTTCAGCATGCCACTGGCTTAAGTCTTTATCAACCAATTCCCTGAAGAGAATTGTGACAGTTACCTACAAGCAGGACCTTTCAGAAACAAGACAACATGAATGTGACTAGGAAGAGAGAGGTAAAAGAAAAGTAAAAGAATGACCCAGATGAGATTATGTCGTGCTGTCTCTGGGAAATGGGCAAACCTGATGTTGCCCCAGTTAGTTTGGCAGTGTCTTGCCTGAACCAGGAATTTGGTTTTAGCAAGGAATCAGAGAGCAGTCAAGTGGGATGATACTCAGAGGCTCATGTAGAGGGGCCTCCTTTCTTACATACATTGTATTTCAGAATAAAACTGGTAGTTGATTTCTACATGCCCCAGAATTAATATTTCCATTGATCACAACATTATCAGAAATTGTCAAGTATAACCAAAATTAAATCAGCAACCATATCCCTAAGATAAATAAATCAGCAAATTCATGGTTTTAGGGAAGCTATGGATTTTAATTAACTTTTTATGCACATCCAATGAGAACAATATCCCTATAAACTATGGAAGTGATGGGCATTATAGAATATTAAACTAATAATAAAGTTATAATATCATCTTGCTTTCATACTTTAGAATAAGCCTAAGAAATTAAGAAACTACTTTTTAAAAAATAAAAAAGGAAATAAAGAAAAAAAAATTTTTTCCAAATCATCAGCAGAAATGTTTTCCTCTCATCCTTCATGACAAGCTTTAATATCATCATTTCATATGTTAGTATACCCCCAGTGTATATTGTTTAGCAGTGTGACTGGTAAATAAGGAGATAATCTTAGCAAAATGTA